GACGGGGGACGGGCAGATCCTGGTTGGGGCTCCTGCAGTAGCCGGCTGTATGCTGAAAAACAGATGGCATTCACACTCCTGGGTGCCTGTCCTTTTGCAGTCACAGAGCAATGGACAATTGCATCTCTTTCATTTTTGGTAAGACTAACTTTGCCACTGAAGGTTTTTCAGGAGAGACTGGGCAGCCAATGGTCAGAAATGGAATAGGGTAGTCATGGCGAACCTTTTTCGCCTTGGGTGGCAAAAGTACATGCGTGAGCGCTATCGCGTGCACTTAAAAGCCCACCCCATAATTTAATGCCCCACTGTGCCCCCTGCACATGTGTGCGTGACACCCCCCCCCTTGCCTTGAACGCATGCACACGGCTTTCTTGGAGCCTGGGGAGGGCGAAAACGGCCTCCCCCACCCCCCTGGAGGCCTGTTTTCTGACTTCCGGTGGACCCAGTCAGTTCATTTTTCACCCTCTCCAGGCTCCTGGAAAGCCTCTGGAAAGGTCCCAACACACAAACTGGAAGTTTGGGAATGGACTTCCGGGTTGCCCGTTGGGTTATTTTTCTCCCTCCAGAGGGTGAAAAACAGCCCAATGACAAACCAGAAGTCAGTTCCTGAACTTCTGGTTTGTGCCTTGGGTGTTTTTTTGCCCTCCAGAGACTTAAGGAAAGCCTCCGGAGGGTGAAAAACGCCCAAAAATCAGCTGGCCAGCGCACACATGCACCCTGGAGCTGACAGGGCAATGGCTTGCTTGCCCTCAGAAATGGCTCCGCATGAAACCGGTGGCATTTTTTAAATATTTCCATGTTGTATGCCTGGGAGGGATGGTTGAGGAACCACATTACAAAATTCCCAAAAATGCAGAGGGAAAGAATAATTGCATTCTAAAACTTGCATTACTTCTTTAGATGTTCAAATTAAGATTGTTTCCCATGTACATGGAACTGAATTTGTGTCTCTGGGTGGCAGTGGAGAGAGTTTATCAAGTAAGAACATCGACCCATCTTGTGGGCCATGATGTGCAGTGGTTAAAATGCAGGTTAGCTCATTGCTCACTGCCAGGAGTTCTATTCTCGCTGGCTTAAGGTTGACTCAGCCTTCCGTCCTTCTGAAGTTGGTAAAACGAGGACCCAGATTCTTGGAGGCAACAGGCTGACTCTGTAAACTGCTCAAAGAAGGCCGTAAAGTCTTAAGTGCTGTTGCTGTTGTGTGATATTGTTAAGATTGATTTCGGTGGGTCCATTTGGTGAGTTAGTGGGCATCTGCAGCCAGAGCAAAGTCCTGGGGCCACCCAGCCTGTTCTGAAAGGTCCATTTCAAAAGGAACAGTTCACGTCTCTGATGCCTATTCCATGGAGATGGAAGGGGGGGGAGGGCAGAAGGATGAACCAGGGCTTTGCCACAGCCGCCACCTCCCTGCTCGTCACTTGGTCTGCCCCCTCCTCTGCCCAAAAGAGTACAGCCAGGTTTCCAGCCTTTGTAGCTTGGTCTCCCATGGAGGCCATAGTGAAAAGAAAGAAGCTTTGGGCAACGGCTTCAGTGTCTGCCTTCTCCTCCGCAGGGAAGCTGAATTTAGTAGACCTGGCAGGATCTGAGCGTGTGGGAAGATCCGGTGCAGAAGGGAGCAGGTTGCGTGAGGCTCAATACATCAACAAATCGCTTTCGGCTTTGGGAGATGTGATCTATGCGCTGCGTTCCCGCCAGTCCCATGTTCCGTTTCGCAACTCCAAGCTGACCTATCTCCTCCAGGATTCCCTCAGTGGTGAAAGCAAGACCCTCATGATGGTCCAGGTGAGCATCTTTAGAGAAAGGGGGACTTGGGTTTTTCATTTTTCAGGTGACCTAGGCACAAAATGCAGGCTCCTGATTTTGCATCCCACGCGCCTGCTTTGATGGTTATGTCAGACAATGTGTCGGAGTCCTGTACATCAGTGGTTGATGTGGCTCCTTTGCTTTTATATCGGGTGGTTCCCTCCCCCCCCCATGCCTGCCTGACCTGCTCTTGGCAATCACCCAGCCCTCCTTTGAAAAAGGCAACTGAAGCCCCCTCCCAGAGTTCAGAGCCCGTGTTCATTGTGTGCATCGGGTGGGTGTGGGCCACAAAGCACAAAAGGGGGGCAGGACTACAGGAACACCAAAACTGGTTTTCTGAACTTGGATCTTCATTTATCCAAAGCGGCATTCCAAAAGTTGCTCCCAAAGTGAGATGGGAAGCATATAAATATAATAAATAAGTAAAAGCTCACAGTAACTCCCAAGTCTCCAAAAAATATCTCAGAAGAAAGCTTAAAGGGGGGCCCCCCTCCCACCCCCAGGATAATTAGTGGAGAATAAAATGTTGCTCCTGGATGGGTGAGTCCCACACAAGCTCTTCTCTTGCACGCTCTTGCAGTGGCTACTCGATGCCCCGCTCTGGTTTGCTCAGGGGGCCCCAAAGGGAACTCAGAGGGGGGCTGAGGGTGCCTGGTTACAGGTTTGGAAAATGCTCAGGGCTGGTTGTGGTTTACCACACCGACAGATCCAAGCTGGCGGTGGCTCTAATGGATCCCAAAAGTGGGATTGGAACTCTGTCCAGACGTTGCCCCAGAAAGGTCTTTGGTGGAGACTGGAGGGTGGGGAAGACCCAGGCCAAGCCCCATGGGGGAGGAGGAGTGAATGTGTCCTTCCCTAATCAGACAAGTGATCTGGCCGTTTCAGAGAGTTCTTCCCTCTTCACAATCCATTCCTCTCTTGTGAGTATTTCTGTAGTTGTCCGTCTTCCTGCGTAGTGTAGCCTCACTGCAATTACAATTTATTTCTATTTAGAGGTCACCCATCTTGTCTTCAAGGCGATGCTGGGAGTCCTTGGGTTAAGCTGGCAAAGAGGATTGGGATTTCTGTGGCTGAATGATGTCTTAATGTGTGGTGTCGTGTGGCAGGTTTTTATGTTAGAATTTCTTTGCAACTTCCTGCTGACTTTCAACAACCAAAGTTGGTCAGGAAGCTGGCAGGAGATTGTGGGGTCCAGGCCAGCCGAGGGAGGGAGGGAGGGAGGGAGGGGTGCGCAGTGACCAGAGAGGCACTGCAGCAGCAGCTATGTGGCAGGACTGGGGAGGGGGGAGGCTGTTGCCTGGTTGGAGAGGGGAAGGGTGTGAGGCTTGACAAGGGGGTGTGGGTGACAGTGGGATCATGGGGGGAGGAGTGGGGCAATGAGGTGGTTTTAGCTGGTGTGTGAATAGTGGGGTGCCTGCCAGCACCTGAGGGGGGCCTAGGGTGAGTGCAGTGAGGCTTGGGAGGACGAGGGAGACGGTTCCCAGCAGTTTCTGCAGCTTCCCTGCTGGTTTCCCCATTGACTTTGCTTGTGGGAAGCAAAGAAGGAAGACCACAAATTGTGATCACAACTTTCTACGTTTCCAGTAACAGCAGGACATCATTTTACATTTCTCTTGAATTGTAAGATGACGCCCATTCAAGTCCTCTAAACTTCCTGCCTCCCCACAGATGCACCTGTAATTGTATCCAAAATTCCCAGCCTACTTTATCACACATTCTTTAACTTGTTCTTCTTCCACTTCAAATCTCAACTGTAGTTTAGGCCTTTTAGCAATTAACGTGATCTTCATGGGTTGGCAATTCCCTTCCAGATTCTGCTGGGGTTTGGTTTCCTTCTCTCACCTGGTGCTTCCTGAGCAGCTCCTGAATTGGAGTCCCTCCAGCAGCCCCTCTTGGCCTGGAGACTGAGCCAAGACCACAGGAAGGCCAGCTGCCTGGCCACAAGATCTCCTCTGCCCGGCTCTTTGGGGGCACTTTGGGGGGGGGCACAGAGGCAGCCTTCTCTTCCGTAGGGGCCACTTGGGGGTTCTGGGCTGTGGGTGCCCATTCCTCCTCTCTTTCCACAGGTTTCTCCGGTGGAGAAGAATACGAGTGAGACACTCTGCTCCCTCAAGTTTGCTGAGAGAGTTCGCTCCGTGGAACTGGGCCCTGGCACTCGGAAGGCAGAAATGGGCTCCTGGACCAGCCAAGAGCACTTAGAGGTACTGGAATTTCCTGCCTGCTGGGTCCCCCCCCCCAATATGGCAGATCCTTTCCTTGGAAGATGCTGTCCCCAACTCTAACCCCCCATTTCCCTCAGAGTTCCTGGAGCCTGGGGGTCCCGCAGATGGGCGCTTGGGTCCAGCCATCCTGGGTTGCCCCTTTAGCCTTTCCCAGGATGGTGAGGGGTCGCCATGTCCTCATTGCACCAGGACCCTCACAGGGCAAGCGTAACAGCCAGGATGGGTTTTTGGAGGCAGCCTCCGTGCGCCTGGGGTCCTGGTGGCAGGTGGACGAGGGCCCCAGCCTCACTCCTCCCCTGGGAGACACTCCAGGGAAACTGCAGCCTGCCTGCTTCTGCCATTGGGCCCTTGCAAAACTTGAAGCCCGATTCAAGGTGGGGATGCGAGCTTCTGACTCCCCCCTCCCCTCCAGCTCTAGGACTGACCAGGGCAGTTTTGAAGATTTGGGGTGATGCACCTCCTAGAGAGATGGCAAAACGTGCTAAGTCTAAAGGTGCAGCTGGATGATGAATCCTCCTCAAGGTGGCCACAGCTCAAGTCCCATCTGTTGGGGATCTTATGGCTCTTGGCTAGAGTGGCCAGGTGGGGGTGGGCGAAACAGAGCCCTGAATGGAGAGCACTTTCGCCTGGCCTTACAGCTGTCCCTTGGCCAGTTGGGCCACAGGAATCTCTCTTTGGCCCTGAACACCCAAACTTCCAGGAGCAAAGAGGTTGAACTTTAGGAGCACATTTTTTTGGACAAAGACTGTAAAATAAGATTGGAAACAGGAGTGCAAAACGTTTACAATTGAAAGGCTCCTCTTAAAACTCCCCAAAGGTACAGCCAAAAAAAAAAAAAAAAGGCCAGCTTCTCTGTGCTCAGGGCTCCAGAAGGTTCTGTGCAGCCAGCTGGAGAAGGCCTGGAAAAGTTGCCCACTGCCATTTTCCCAATCTCCAAAGCTTCCTCAGTTCTAGGTCACTCAGGTGTTCTCCTATGTCCCTGGGGGCATCTGTCCCGAGGGAGGGAGGGAAGGAGCATGGAGCCCTTGGCCCAGAGAGCTCCCACTCTGCCTGCCGTGTTTGGGGGAGCCCAGTTGGCTCAGGGTCTCATCCAGGCTGCGGTTTCTGTGTCTTCCCGGCTTGGAGGCTCCCTTTATGGCCCCTCCCAGTCCCAGCCGTGATTCACCACCCAGGGAGGGAGGGAGGGCATCTTTCACCAAGTGGAGTCTGAATCTGGTGGGCAATGGAGGGTGGGTCGGTGTTGGGGGGGAAGAAGATGGGATCTTGGTTGCCTGGTCACACCTTCTGAAGGAACCTTCCTGGTAACAGCCACAGCTCTGTTTCCCTGTGGCTGCTTGTCTCCAGGTGGAGCCCCCTGCCGCCTTCCAGCCCTGCATTCGAACCCAGCCGTCCCCTCGAACGGGGCGATCGAGCTCCCTTCGGGCAAAGCCCCAGAGTACAGGTAAGAGTCCTTCCGTTGGCAGAGCTGCTTGGGCTCCTCCAAAGAGGGAATCTCCCCCAAGAGTCAGGCTGGGCCGTGGGGAGGGAGCTCGGTCTGCTTCTCTGAAGCCTCCTGGACATCTGGCAGTGCCCAGCAGGGTCCTCTGGATGCCACCAAAGGTGCCAAGAGTCCGGACACCAGGTGGGCACAGGGATTTTCTTCTTTTTCTTGTTTGCATCCATGTGTGCCTAGTTGGGATGCAAATCACCCAACACTGCCCAACTGTGCTGAGGATGGGGGGCTGCCCCCCGCCTCTTTCCCAACACCCCCTTGGCAGAACAGCCCAAGGCTTTTGGGGGGCAGAGGTGGTAGGTTCCCCCCCTCCTGTCAGAGTTATTTGAGCCTAGAAAACATCAGACGCTCAAGGCAGAAGGGGGCAAGAGACGAGGGGCTTATGCCCGGGGCAGGGGGCATTGGGTCCAGGAGGTTTGGAAGCGGCTGGAGCCCCCCATCTGTCCCAAGAAGGGGAAGAGCAGCAGAGGGCCCGATTCAGCCAAAGAGGAGCTGGGTTTGGGGAATGTTTTGAGGATGCTTGAAAGGAGTTGATGGTCATAGCCGTGTTGTGTAGTTCCACACACAAAGCGAAGGCCCTGGCAGGTGGAACGGAACAGCAGACAGCAAGGAAGCCTCTCCTGGGGTCACATTCATTGCCACATATCATCCGTGGGGTCATGTGTGCATCTTCTTCACAAGCTTCAGTAGGAAGAGGAGTCAACTGGTCAAATGTTCATCTGGTTATGTTGTTAGCCAGGAACTTCAGGGAACTTTAACAATCACCCACACAATAGGTTAATCAAAGCAGTTTTGGCATCCATTTGCTGCTTTGTGAGACAAACTTCAGTCATTCCGTTTGATTTCAGCCTGGAATTAAGAGATGATCCGTTTGCCTCCAGGTGAGTTAGATACACGCCCGGATCACAAGATCTTACTCAGATTAACTCGATGTTAAGTTCTGCTGTGGCCAAAACGAGGAGGAAAGCAGGATGGAGGCTGCCTTTGGGTGTCTTGTTCCTAGTCTCTAGAATTAACATCAGACTGAGACGGGGACAAGCGTGAAATTTCACTTTCCTCTTGAATGTTGTTTTTTATTCCTTGTAATCAGGGGTGGGTTCCTGCCAGTTCCAACCTCTTCTATAGAAGAGGTTCCACAAATCTACAGTGCCGTTTAGAACCGGTTCCAGCTCCCTCCCCAATCCCCAACCCTACCCATCCGCACATCATCAAGATGAAAAGCGAGAGGAGGAATTCTGGGAATTGAAGTCCACAAGTCTTAAAGCTGTCAAGTTTGAACACCCCTGGGTTTTTTTTTTCTAAAGGGTTAGGGATGTGAGGGTCTTGTAACTTGACAGCTTTAAGACTTGCACACTTCAATGCTAGAGTTTATGAGCCAACATTTTGGTTGCTAAGCAAGAGCATTAAGTGAATTTCACATTTTACAAGTTGGCCACGCCCACCCAGTCACATGGCTGGCAAGCCACTCCCACAAAGCAGGTCGCACCTACAGAAGAGATTCTAAAAAAATTTGAAACCCATCCCTTGCAACCCAATTGAAGATTGGAAGTAATTGTTGTAATGCAGGCTGGAGCTCTGTCTGCCACCCTGCTTACAATCCAAAACCAGACTGGAACAGGGCCAACTATTAGGTGTGGGCAATTTTTGCAGTATTCTCTTGGGAGCCTCTCCTGGTCATGTCCCCTCGGCCACCTTGTGGTGCCTGGCTTCTTGCCTCTCAGTCTGATCTAATTTTGCAGTCCCTCTTTTTGTTTCCCAACAAAGGAAAATGCTACAGAAGACAATGGCAGCAAAAATAAATGGAGGGGGCTGGAAACCAATGTCCTTTGCAGATTGAAATAGACTAGATACAAACAAATGCATTTTTGCTTTTTACAAAAGTAAAAAATGGGCTAATTTGTCCTGCTTTGCTCCCTTGTGCTGAAATGCTTTTGCACCTGGCTCACCAAGTGGCTTTCCTCAGATTTGTCCTTTGTTGGGTTGTGGAAGTGCTGCCTGCTCCCCCCTCCCCTGATCACAGCCTCTCTTGCCCCTTGGAGGCTCTCAGCTGCAGATGCAAAAACAGCTTCGTTGTCTGAAATGCTTCCTGTGCAGCAATAACAGATATGATATTGAAGGGACGATTTGTACTGAATGAACCAAACTGACTTTAATTCTAGTGGGTTTTGGAACATAGTGCTTGGCAGTTTTCAAATATCCAGAGGAATAAGAAATAAAGTGCAGATTTGAATTTGCTCAGAGGAGACAAAACAAATAGAACTGCTTCATCCATTGGCCTTCATGGGCATAGCCCATGAAGAATAATTATAATTAAAGAAGCCTGCATGGAACTCCCAAGTCGAAAGAGAACATCATTGAGGGGGACTGTTCGTTCTACAGAAGTTCTGCACAGGGAAAGTTTTGGGTGCCGCCTGCAGGAGCTGCCTAGCGCGGGTGCCTGCAGCAAAACGCTTGGCGTGTTGGCAAGCAGCAGTTCCTCAATGTCTGTTCAGTGGGATCCTCTGCCAGGTTTCATTTCTCTCTGTTTGTTTTAGGGAAACCGAGACCAGTTCCTCTATGAAAGCTGGTTGTTGTCAGGAAAGGCTCTTTTCAAAGAGGACTTTGGGGAACCACACTGGCTTTTCTAAAAATGCACCTGGACTGGGACTACAGCACAGATGCCCAGGGCTTTGGGCTGACCAGCCCTGTCCACTGCTGGCAGTGGAGCTGGGGGCTTGGAACTATACAGACTTCAGGAGAGGATCCCTTCCTGATTGAGTTTTAACACATTTCTTTTGAAAGAGAGCAGAGGCGGTGAACACAAACTTTGCTTTTATGTACCCGTTCCCTTTCATTTTTATTTGAATAAAAATGTTGCGCCCAGTCAGAATTCTTGGAAATCCAGAAACTTGTTGCTAGTATTTTATTTTATTATTCTATGTCTGTCATCTCAATCTTACATGGTACCGAAGGGCAATATGAAAACTATGATTGAAATGCAGTCAGGCAGAGCCGGAGGAGTTCTGAGTTATCCTTCATCTCAGGATTAACTCTTGGCAGGGCCTAAAGATACAGTTAATCCCCGAGGGTTCCCTTAACGAACATTCGAAGTTATGCGATCAGTGCGTTTCCAAACAAGGCCCAAAACTACTTGCAGCACCATGGCAGTGGTTCGCTCTTACGACCGCAGAAGTTCTCCAACATTTGTCCTGCATGTTGCTGGCTGAAATGGAGCTTCTGATATCCAGAAGCTCCATTTCTGTCTGCAAAAGTCCAGGGGAGGCCCATGGAGGGCCGAACGGAGCAGGTGAGGCTGGAGAGGAGATTGCTTTCTAAATCTTCACAAGGTAAGTGACCCGGCGTGGCAGGTTGGGGGAGGGGGCAGCAATCTGGGCCAGCATGAGGTATTTCAGTGGGTGGGGAGGCCTTGAGTGGTTTTAGGCAGGTGACCTGTACCATCGGTAGCCCCCCCCATGGCCTTCCCCACTCTGAAATTCCTTGTGTGCACTTAACGAGCCTCACATTCGATTAGCAAATGTGTGGCCGAAAGGAGAGAGTGATCATGTTCAAGGTACGAGATTCACTACCACAAATCCTTGAGTTACGAATGGAGTGGGCAGACTCCGTTACATTCGTAACTCGAAGACTCCCTGTATTTCTCTTTCCAGACTTTTAAAAAATCCTTCATAGAGTCAAGTGTTGGACAGGTTGCTGGGCTGATGGCAAATTCCATCCCCCACCCCCAAAAAATTACTCTCTACCCTTTGATCGTTTTGGTTATCAAATTGACGTAATTATGTTGGGTTTTATTTTACTTCTATTTATACTCTTTTCATTTCTTCCTTTTTATTATTGTAAGCCACCTAGAGTAGCCCCACAATGAGATAGGTGGCAAATAAGTTTAACAAATAGTTTGTATTTAATCTACAGAATAGAGATTAGCTTTGCCTTCATTTTTTACATTCTAAATTTTCTTGAGAGTAAGAATGTCTCCAAGGTTACATCAATGAATAGCTGGAGAGCACGAGGCCATCTCCTCAAACTTGGGGGGGGGGGGGGAGAACAAAGCAATGAATTTAATTTAGGCCCCCATCCATCGGATTATTTTGGTCGAGATATATAAATAGCTGATAGCTAAAGATGGTAATCTTATTACTCTTGACTAAACTGGTATCGCGAAATCCTCTTGCACGTGATAAGACAGGCTGGGGTACTTTTAGCTGCTGCACCTCAGTTTTGAAAATGTAACAAACCAAAATCGAGACATTAATTTTATGTATAAAATTAAAAGTGATTTTAGATCATTTACACTTTTTTTGGCACAGACAGCCAGAGTGAGGCAAGTCAGTGTTGAGACATTCAGCAAAACAAACCAATGCGCAGCAATGAAACAATCCAGAGGAACAAAGCAAAAGAAAAATACTGGGCACTTTCCAACATTTCCTTAGAGATGGTTCAAATTGGTAGCCGCCTCCTCCTCCTCCCTTCTTGAGAGACAGACAGGGGTCCTCAGCATGATTTTTAAAATATAAATATTTACAAATAAATACTAAATCTACAAATACAGGTTGAGATAGCTTGTGTGTGTGTAATTATATACATATATAAAATCTCATCAGATTTTCACAGGGCTTCAAATGTTGATCTATATTTTTGCTGGAGGAAAAAATAAACATTTTAGAGGAAATTTAGATAGGACTACACACACACACACATTTTAAAGGAAATTAAACTCTCATAAATGAGTCCCATTTAAATTTCCTCTAAAATGTTTACTTTTCCTGCAGCAAACAAACCAAAAATAAGGTCAACATGTGAGGCTTTTCCATGGAGGGATTTCAAGCTCTGCAGCTAAAAAACGGCACTGCTCTTTGACCTTGAGCTAAACCCTCCGTTTCAGCGAGAGCCTCTAGCCAGCCTGAGTTATAAAGGAAGATGGTTTATTCTGAATTGCAGAATGTAGCTCACACACAGTTCCAGTTACAAACATTTAATCAAATCATAAGTTACAATTGTATGACCGGCTGGCTCCAGCAATGCAGGGAAAGTCCATTCTCTTCCATAGTCCCGAGAGACTTTCCTCCCGGGGGGGGGGGGGGGGAAGAGGGAGAGGAACCAGCCACGACTCTGTTATCAGAAAAATCTGGCTCAGGCCCTGCAGGTCGAAAGGCAAGCGGAAAGGCCCTGGTACAGCCGCGTCATGGAGGATACCAGTGACCCTATACTGGTCCTCCACAATTCAAGATGGCTGGAGAGCTGGACGTGAGTCAGGCGTTGACCACCATTGCTGGCAGGTGGGAAAAGGGTGGGAGGCAATGGGAGCCTTTCGGCCAGGAGAAGTTTGAGCCACGTGTCCTCCGCAACCTCCCCGAAGGCAGCAGCTGCACAAGTGCAGGAAGATTGGTGGTGCCACAGCAGGGAAACCTGCTTTGAAAGGGCTCCTGTAAGGCACTGGGCTGGGTGCGGTGCAGAAGAGCTGCCTGCCGGAAGGCCGCGAGAAGACAGTTCCCTGGCAGCATCTCCAGAGCTGGAGGGCAAAGCAGCAGGCAGGGGCAGCCTGGCCACAGCGATCACTCGAGGACGGCCATCAGGAGGTGCAGCTCCCGGAAGGCACTGCCATGGCGGCCACTGAGGCCGGACCGGTTCTTGACGAAAGCGCCGATGCTTTTCAGTTGTTTGTAGCACATGTGGCACTTCTGGAGCCTGGGCCAAGAAGAAAAGCAGCTGGCAAAAAAGGGCTGCCCCACTCGGGAGGCCTCCCATGTTATTTTACTTATTTGTATGATGCCCCCTCAGAGCAGAGAAAGAAAGAAGCAACGGCACCTTCATCAGGAAAAGGGTAATAGCAATAGCAGTTAGACTTATATACCGCTTCATAGGGCTTTTAGTCCTCTCTAAGCGGTTTACAGAGTCAGCATATTGCCCCCACAATCTGGGTCCTCATTTCACCCACCTCTTGAAGGATGGAAGGCTGAGTCAACCCTGAGCCGGTGAGATTTGAACAGCCGAACTGCTGAACTGCAGTCAGCTGAAGTAGCCTGCAGTGCTGCATTTAACCACTGCGCCACCTCGGGTGTGGGTCTCTGTGTGTGTGTGGGGCAGCAATGTCAGTTGATCTTACAGGTCCTGAAGCCAATGCCCCCCCCACCCCAAAGGCCCTGCTCTGGCTAAACCCTCCGGTCAATTGGCAAACAGAAGGCTGAAGGTGAGGAGGAGAGCCTGCCCACAGGAAGGCAGCCTTCATGGTGCTCTGCCCCCTCAATAGTGCTTGAACAGGTAACGAGGGAGCAAGGATTCCCCAAAGGCGAGAGGGGAGCAATTAAGCCATTTGGAACGGCTGGTCAAGCTTGATAGCACTTCATATCCAACTGTCTGGACATTCCTCTTTTCTGAGTGAAGAGAACAGGCACCCACTTCACACCAGGACTGTCAGGAAGAAACACCTCCTCAGTTGAACCTGGGAGATAAGTTAGTGTCTCCAGGGGCAAAACAATCCGGGGCTTTAGAAACTCACCTCATCCTCTCTCCAGGCCTGTCTTGGGAAAGAAGCTCTGGGAGTGTCTGGTTTTTTGAGTTGGGGGTGGGGTGGGGGCAGGGAGCAAATAAGAACTTGACACCATCAGAAGCCTCTAATCAACCTAGGTAGAACAGCTTTGGACCCCATTAGGTAAAAGCGGAACACGCCTGTGCATTTCTAGCCTAAATCTGTGGAATTCGCTATGTGGTGCAGGATTCCTGAAGGTTCGTACCATCCCAAGCCTGGTAGGAGAGAAAGGAAGGTCCGTTACCTCTCTTCTCGGGAGATGTCCACGCCCACCGATGGGGGTGCAGCAAGGATGTCCGTAATCAGGGGCAGAAACCTTTGCAGAATTAGCTTCAGGGACGCACAGCCGGTCTGAACGTAACTAGCACAAGAGAGAGAATTGGGGAGAAGAAAGGTTCAAAAGAAAGTTTCCTTTCAGCATCTCCAGAGTATTGCCCAGTTCTTCCCTCAAGGATTGTCCAGGGACTGCATGCTCAGCATCTGGACTGCAAACAGGAGACCCCCCTGCTGTCCAGAGAGAGGACACGGAGCTTTTGACATCAAGAGAACAAACGAGATGGAGCTTCCTTGAAAGTTTTTAACAAATAGGGATAACTCGAGTCCTTGGTGCTCCCTGAGCTGGGTTGTCTGTAGGCAGATGTTTCACTATCCAACTAGGTAACATCAGTGTGAGTGAGTGGGGAGTTTGCTCCCTGATTATATACAATAGCTTGCCAGTACTCTGCCAGCATGGGAGTGTGTGTGGTTTTCCCCTTAGCAGATTGGTATAAATCTCTGCTTCTCTGGCTGTTGGCTGCTAGAGAAGATTCTGGTCTTTCTGCTGTTCACTGCACTGTGGTGGTGTGAAGATTAGAATGCAATATTGCAGGCTAATTCAGCTCACTGCCAGAAGTTCAATCCTGACCAGCTCAATGTTGGCTCAGCCTTCCGAGGTGGGTAAAGTGAGGACCGAGAATTTTGGGGGCAAGAGGCTGACTCTGCCAACTTCTTAGAGAGGGCTGGAAAGCACTGTGAAGCGGGATGTAAGTTTGAGTGCTACTGCTATTTTGTTTCCTTCTTAGCATTTTTAATTGCGTCTGTTGAAGGAAGGGAAGTCTGGTTTGTCTCTGTACTGATGACTGATTGGTCTGAATGCTACGCTTCCCATGTTTTTGGACTTAGCTTGGTCCAAGATCTTAACAGTTTCCCAGCCAAAACTTTGTAGTTATGAAGTAACCTGCACATTTGCATCCAGCATCAATCCGGAAAAAGGGCTCCTTGTTCTGGTTGAGCAGCTGCAAAAACTGCCTTAAAAATTATCTGGCAGATTTTCAGAAAGCTTTTAACAAAAACTTTAATCGAAGGTTACAGGGAAAAAAATAAGGCCAGTTAAACACGCCTCAGAGGGACTGGTAAGCAATCAGGGCCTTCTGTGACTGCTGGCATTAATTAGCCTCCTTTGCAGACTGCAGCCTCCAACTAATAAACCCAAACAAAGCCAATTCAACATCGCTGGGAATTATCTGGCACGAGGCAAAAGGCCGAAGTAGCCACACGGGTGGGCAGCAAAGACCTCCCCAACGGAAATGGAGAGCGTCTGAAGGGGGGAGATTTGCCAAGGCCTGTGGGGGAGACTAGGGCAAAGCCTCCTGATCTGGGGGAGAGGAAAGTTGTGGGGCAGAAAAGAGGCAATTAAAGGATTAGGCAGCCACTCCTGTTGCAGGGAGAGGGACTGCCCCCCCCCCCCTTTCCAGGGTGAAGTGAAGCCACCGCGTTTTATTTACAGGGATGATGTAAGGCTTCACTGTGCTCAAGGCTGCCTCCCCCCTTGGCCCCCAAGCAGCCAGCCGGCCTTCCCACCGTTGCCTCAGGCAAGCGAGGCGGGTGAAGGCACATCCCCGGGAGCCTGGCTTGGCCTGAGGCAGCCCTGACACTTTAGCAACCGTAAGGAGGAGCTTTTACAAAGCCCGAAGAAAAAGTTACCTTTCATATTTGCTTTGCAGCAGCTTTTCTATTTGTGGCAAGACCACCGTGCAGAGGTCCAGTTTCCACAGAGACCTGGGAAAAGGAGAGAGGTTACGCTGCACCCGTCCCTTCCGGAGTCCTCAGGCAAAGTCTTGGCTGCGCCAACCGTTCGGCCTGCAGACGGCCTTCCCACCAGGAATGAAGGCCTGCAGGGGCTTCCAGAATAGCATTCTGTGCCCTGAACCATCCAGGGGACCCAGTGGGGGTTCCGGACCCCAGTGCAGCCAGTATACTGTCCATGGGGCCGGCTGTCCTAGATGGGCATGCACGCTGCACACGCATGCACGCGCCACTGCCCTGCGACATCCAGCTGGCTGGCAGAGGTCACGCAGGCCCCGCACGCTGTGCACACGTGTGTAATGGCTGGTTGCGTTACTAAACAGTCATGGAAGGCTGACAAGCAGGTGGGCCAAACGAGCCACCATGCCGATACGGTGGCCACTTCTCCCGGCTACTACAGGCATGGCCGTACTGGGCCATACCGCCCAGAACCCACCACTGAGGGGACCCTGTGTCCCTTCAGACAGGATGAATCTTGGGATTCCCAGAAGAGCTTGTGGGATCCAGAGCCTATTATATGCCAAAGGAGCCATCACACGTCTCGCTGCATCTCCAGGGTTGGCAGGCGGTGGATGAAAAGAGCTCCGATCCAGGCATCGGCACCCAAGCAGCCCAACCGAGACTCTCCCTGCAGAGGAAACGCAGGCAGAGACTTACGCCTTCTGGTTCACGATGTTGAGAAGGTCAACCACCACTGAGAGGTCATTGATGGCCACCGCAGAGTCCACCGAAGTCTGAGGAGAAACCACAGTGGCAGAATAGGATTATGGCAAGGAGCCTTGGGAGGTTGGGGGCAGGTGGGAAGGGAGAGCAGTGGTTGGACTCCAGAGGTTGAACTACAAGTCCCAGCATCCCTCGCCCTTTAATGGATTTGCTTCTAGAGACGAACAGCATCTATTTAGTCAAATAGATGGTGAAACTGTGGGGTCCTTGCTACTCTCTGAGCTTGGCTGTTTTCTTGGAAAGATTTCATTATCAAACCAGGTAACATCAGCGCCGAGAGAGAATGGGATTTGCTCTTGGCTTAAATAAATACATATAAAATGAGAACAAACCCCACTCTCTTCTAGCTGTTGCCTAATTTGGTAATGAAACATCTGCAAGAAAACAACCAAGTTCAGAAAACACCAAGGACCCCACAGTTCAACCCTGAGCTACGAGACTCTTTGGTTGAAAAGGAAAGTTAGTCACTTGCAGGACAATATTCTGCTCTTTTTGGCAGAATGGACTCACCCGGGGCTGCGACTGAGGCAGGAAGGCCCAACTGAGTCACTCCCACAAGCCGTTTCCCAAATTCATATGGACCCCCAGACCAAAGGCAATATTTGTTTCCTCCGTAGGAGCTAGGTCAGAAAAGCCCAAACCACCCAGCCTCACATCCTCCGGGCTTACCTTGATGTCCCCCGTGCTCCACACGGCTCTCACAGTGTCCAAATTCTTATGGCGACTGGTCAGCACCACACACATGGTCTCATGGCCCTTCCGGATCTGGGACACGGCCTCCTCGTCCACAATGTCCATCAGGCCCTGGTTCTTCACGGCCTGCAAGGACAGAGGCCAAAGGGGAATACAACAAGGCGGGGGAAGGAGGGGAAGGCCTGCAAAGGACTTTCCACCCCAACAGTCGTGACCGAAAGATGCATCCCAGCTGGACTCCCCTGTTGCCTTTGGAGCTGTGGAACAAAGCAATCAGGGAGGACTGTGCAAACTGACACAGGAAAAAACCCCTCCTGTTCTGTTACCTGGAAGGGAGGGGTGTGTGTGTGTGTGTGTCTGTGTGTGTCTGTGTGTGTTGCAAATAGGACAAATTGGTCATGTGCTGCCTCCTGGTGGTCAACATAAATAAAAACACTACCAAGAAACTATACACTGTTTTAAAAGACTTCCCTATAAACGAAGGCTGTTCTGGATCACAAAGTTGCCTCCTCCTCCTTCTTCCTCTTCCTCCTCCTCCTTCCTTTTCTATCCATCCCTCACCCACTTTCAGAACAACAGAGTAACACAAGAATAGAGTTTGGAAGGGACCTTAGAGGTCTTCTAGGTCAACCCTCTGCTCAGGCAGGAGAACCTACACCTTTTCAGGCAAACAAACGGTTGTACAATCTCTTCTTGAAAACTTCCAGGGATGAAGAGAACTTCTGGAGGGGAAACTATTCCCGATTAATCATCCTCACTACCAGGAAATTCCTTTTTTTTAGGTTGGATCTCTAGTTTCCACCCATTGCTTTCTAAATATTAATATTTTACACTTATTTTACTGCTAATAGTTTACTGTTTACATCCTAAAGACTGTTTGGCCTTTGGTCAAATCAAAACTGCTTCCTCACTTAGCAGCTGAGCGACTATTGCTTCCCTTTTTGGACAAGCAAGAAACATACCGGCAGGAAGTCCGAGGCCTTCAGCCCAATAGGCTCATTCCTGGCAGCTGGAATCACCGAGGGCTCCACCCGCGTTATTGGGGTTGAGGTAGCTACAGGCTGCCTCTGAAGAGGGTCTGCCTGCGGTAGGGAAGGACAGGACAGTCACACATGCTTCCAGGACAAAGAGAGAAGGGGGGGGGAGAAGGGGAGGGGAAGGGAGGGAGAGATGCTGCCCTCGTGCTCCCTCGTTGCTTGAGAGCCTAATCAGGCCCTTAGCCAAAGAGGGCTGCAGGCACACGCTTTCTCTCCGGCCTTTCATCCCACTCGGGACAGGCCAGCTCAAAGCCTGAAAGGAGCCCCTCCTTTGCTCTCCCCCACATGCAGGAGGTGGACGGAGGAGCCCTGATCCGGAGAAGCCGGTGGAAAGGCACTTACCCTCTCCTGGCCTGGCAACGGGGACGCGGCGTCTGCTGCTTGACCAGCCCGCGAGGCTTCTTTCGCAGGTGCCGTCTCTGGAGAGAGGGATAGGGGGAAGGGTCTCTTGGGAGAGGGCAAAAAAAACCCCAACCAAAGCAATGCTGCTGAGCAGGCGGTGGGCATGAGAGCCCTGGAGAAACCTTCGGGATGTCCTGATGCTTACAAAGGTGGTGCATAAAAAGTCGCCTGATGAAAGTGCATAAACTGCCTGATAACAGCTGGTGAGGCCTTTTCATTTGGCCCGATTCTTGGGTATTTCCTCACAGAGCACAGGGGCCTTGTGGAGTTCAGTCCCACAAGAGAGAACCATGGTCCCTGGGGGTGAGTAGCTTCCGAGGGAGATACAACTGACTCCTGGAGCAAAATCCCAGAGAAGAGGCAGCCATCTAGGGCTGCAGCTGGGGAGGCCAGATAACACACACACACCCCCCTGGGCAGAAGCATCTGGCTTCCCTGAGACCCCCGCTGCTCCCAGGCACCTCTGAAGGCCGAGCTACCAAGGGAAGCCTCTGCTCCCCTTTGCCCTGAGCTGACTCCCCTTTGGCCATCTTGGGAGCCAAGGACCAAACTGTCCACTATTCCGAATGCTGCCCCTATTCTTTTCATTGACTGCAAGGAATATCACAGGTTAAACCACGGCCCCACCCAGAGCCCCCCCCTTGACCGCTTACAAAGACCCAAAGAGGCATCAGCAAAGCCCCTCTGGACGCTCAGAACTCACCGTCTTCTGGAGGGGCAGGAAAGGGCTCGCTCTTGCTGGGGGGAGTTCGTACTATAAAGACAGATAAAAGCCCCACTTCAACTGAAACTTTTGTTCTTTTTTGTAAGGTTACAAAAGAAACAGCGTTATTCTAGATTTCTGCAGCTGGACTCAAAGGCGATGGCCCTGTGTTCTCTAGTAGCTCTTCCCACCTTCATGTCGCCAGAAAGGCTCCTTAGCAACACAAGCTCCAACCATTCCTGGTTATACCCCCCAACAGGGCATTCAGGGGAGGTCAAAGCCTTGCTAAAGATCCACCTGGCAACTCAGATGGGGTGATTTCTCCAGCCACCCGAAAAAATGCTGGGTCAGCTCTTTTGTAGCAACCTGGAGACACAAGATGCCCCTTGGAAGCTTCTGTGGGGGAGAGCTTAGCAAAGCAGCTATGGTTTCCTGGAACAGGCATTCTTCATGAAGCTGAGGCTGCACACGCCGGAAAGATTTTGCCCAACACCAAGTCAAAGCAATCCAAGAATGTGAAGTCCAACTCACTGATGGCGTTCTTTGGCTGGAATATCTCTTTGTAATCCTCCAAGTTCTGGATCTCTGCAGTGGATTCCCTTTCTTCCTTGTCATCCTCACTGCTCGGACTGCGCCTCTCGCTCTCTGAGTTGTGTTTCATTCTGAGGGATGAGAGGCAGCGACAGGGACCAGGAAACTGAGCCTCCCCCACCCAGGAGCCCACTGCTCACCCGCCCTCCTGAAAAGCCTGCCCCCCTCACCTCTGGGGCTTGCTGCAGGTGGTGGTTGGCCTTTCATAGATTCGCCGTAGAGAGGCGCCCAGAGATGGTGGAGGACTCAGGGGTTTGTCATCTCTGATCAGCCCATGGAGCCCAGACCCACATTTTGTGATTCTGCTGAGGTCCACAACATAGGAGGAGACGGTGCTTTGGGTAAAAGAAACGCCAATCTAATGGAAAGAATCCACATTCTTAAAATTTTAGGTGTTTGCAAGCACCTTCTAGAAAAAGATTCTGGGCTGCATCAGGTTTGCTGCCCTTCCTCAAAGCTACCTGGAGGGTAGGGCTAGGGCTATGAGTTTGCCAGGCTTGCCACAAGAAGGGAGGAAAGCTGCCTGGCAAGCAACAAGTGGGGAGGGGGGAGAGCCCCACCATTCCTGCCCCGGCCCCCTTGAAGCCCTGGAGAGCAGCACAACAACTGGTGCCAGAATCAGCCAGGAAATCTGACTCTGACATTCCTTCACTCACCAACTGATTGTTACAGATAGACAAATCGGCCACTTTGCCCCAATTCACCAAGACCACCTCAAAGCAGCGCTCGGGCTCCCAGCCGTACACCCGCAGGGCATCCTGGCTGCCAGCGTATAAGCAGCAGCCATCGGGGTTGAAAAGCACGCACCTGCAAGGGCGGTGGGGAGAGAGAGAAAGGCAACAAGAAGAGTGCCATTCCACCTGACATGGCCCCCAAATTCGAAGGAAAGCCTGAAATTGGCCAGCTGAAGCCCCGGATGGGTAGAAACCCCTGGACTAACAACTCACTGCCATTCCTGCTGACAAACACCTGTTGCCTCTTACCTGACGGGTGTGGCTTCTTCCTCAATGCAGCTCACTGTCTGGAACTTCTCCAAGTCCCAGAATCTGACTGTCCTACAAGGAAACAAAAAAGCCAAGATAATGCAAGTGAAAGCTCCCTCTAATCCCACCTTCTTTGCTTCTAGTCACAACCAACTGCCCAGCTCGACTTCCAGCTCCTTCTACATCTCATTTTTAAATTTCTGGCCACTTGCTCAAATCCCTAAAGTGAGGAACGCTGACCCATCTCCCCTTAAACAGGTTTCTGGCATCCAAAGGAGCAAGAACAATCTCAGCCGGGCTCTAAGCTCCAGGGTGAACTGTGAAAGAGCATGAACATTTTGGGTGGGGGTTTCAAACAGCTTTCGCCTTCTCTCTTGCTTAGTAAACTTCTGCATTCTCCTATCAACATCCCGGCGTATGCTTCATTTTTTAATCCAGGCTAATATTTTCTAATGAAAGAATCTTTGAGGAAGATTATAAGGATCACTGGCTTTTTAAAAAACATTACCCTATGTATGTATCTATGTATATGTGACCATCAGGAAATATGAAATAGTATGTCCGAATATACTGCTAGGAAATCAGGAAAACGTATCTGGAGTGAAACCTTTGGTTTTGAGTCAGAGAAAGAAGATAGCAGCTATTGTCGAAGAAACGAAGCCTAAGATTTCATGATACAAATGCTTTGAAAAATGTAGAATCAGCCAAAGAAATTGACTTAAATACTTAGAAGTACATTTCTATAATTTAATCCTGTTTTAATGGCCAATCTAGGAAACAAAAATAATGAAGTCGTAGCCAAGGTACACAACTCGGGAGGAAAGCCAGTAAGTGGCAAAAGAGGGCAGAAGACGAGACTTCTAGGGCACACAACCTCTGCCCAAGACCCTGGAGAAGCACAGCAGGCTAAAAAAACATGGGAAGACAAGCTTTGCTGCCGGCTCTCGCAACCATCGCTTGGCATGCATTGGGGCCAACGGGGGGAAGGACCACCACCTCTTCTACAGCAGGAAGAAGACACTTTGTTGGGTCTCAGTCAAGAAGTAGCCAGGCAGCTGAATCCTTTAGGGCAGGCGTCCCCAATGCCCGGGCCGTGGCCCACTACCAGGCCTTGGGCCGTTCTGAACCGGGGCACAGATGTGCTGGGCAGGTGCTCCATTTGTGCGAGCACATGCACTCCATTGTGTGCCCGCCGTTTGAGGAAATGGAGCTGTGTGTGCACGTTTGCCCACCATTCACAAGGAACCATAACCCCCATACCCCATTGTTCTGCAAAGCCGGAAAGGTTAGGAAACTCTGCTTTAGGGACCACAACCCACCAGGAAAGGTTTTACACACAGACAACTTAACAGGCAGGTAACATCAATGTCTCTGTTTATGCCACAGTTATTGAATCCTGAGAGCTGAGAAAATCCTAAGGGATTCTAAATTTTCGCGGGAGAGAGCAAGGGAGGGCAGCAAATGCAGAAATGCTTGGTTTGAGCACAAAGAGGAGACCAGCTCCAGGAGCAGGTACATCATCTCTCAGGAGCTTCATGGAGATTTCAACACTATGGAAAACATTACGGGGACCTCAGGGGGTAAATCCTGACTTCCTTCTGAAGCACTAGCTTCTAGGCTGGTGTAAAAAGGGTTCCCTAAAAACAGGAACATCTTCCACGCACTACATCAACAATTCGAAGCCTGAAGGAGCCAACGTCGCGATGATACAATGTGTGGTCTCAACACTCCGAGACCGCCCATGATATTTTTGCCACTGGACGGTCCATTTCGACCTAAACCATCCCGCAGAGATGGTGATCAGGAAGACAAAGCCTTGCTGGTCTCAGGGACACCGCATAGTCCCTGATTGACCCAAGGGAAGCTCTTCAAGCCGGTGGTAAATAGGCAGCCCCAGGCAAAGTTGGGACGACTCCAGAAAGAAGTGAAAAGAGAAAGTAAGTCCATCTGGTGAGGTATTTTTTCAGAATTTTTTTCAGAAGCATAATTAACAACCAAAGACAAGCTAATTTTAATAGCAGATGGAGGGCAA